AAGATTTGTGTACTTGCTTCCTATTGTCTGCTTTGGTTGATTTGGTTAGAGCGTAATAGGTGAGTTTTTCAGGATGTGTGTCATTCAGTTCTTTGGTTAGAAAGTAGGTTGCTTTTAGTCTTGTATAGTTGGGTTAAGGGTTTGGTGGATCCTAATGTTTTGGCTTTTGTAAATTTTATAGAAGATTTGATTAGTTAGTTTTGTTTGCCTCGGTGTGGGCTGTTGGTTTTCTCTTTGTATTATTTGCATCGCTTTGATGCTTTTCTAATGAAGTTCGATTATTTATCCCCCCTCCCCCCAAATAATTTTTTTTTTTTTTTAAAAAAATATACAATTTGTTAAAATCCACCTACTCTCCACCTACTTCACCCACTTAAACCTACTCCACTAAACCTAACCCACTACACCACTACCACCTCACCTACTCCACTAAACCTAACCCACTACACCACTACCACCTCCACTTCACCTACTCCTTACCTACTACACACTCACCCTCTTCTATATATAGGAATCATGAATCATTGTAATAAATATCTATACAACATATATCAATCAATAATACAATTCTCTATTTCTTTTTTTATACATTGAATTTTTACACAATTTTAGCTAAAAATCACAATATAAAACTTCAATGGATAAAATTCCTTTATAAAATCAAACATGCTTTTCAGATTCAGGTCTAAGACATGACCTTTTGCCTTTCTATATTTGGCGATTAATCTATGTTTAAAAGGCCCTTTATCCTTTTGTAATAATTTAAAATTTAATTTTGGTCAGAAAAAGTATATTGATAATAATGTGTAAGAAAAATTTAAAAAGTTAGTTTAAAAGAAATGAGACAAGTTAACAAGTCCACATTTTCTCTTTCTAAACTTTGTCTATTGCATGCCTATATTTCTATTTTGCTCTTTATTTATTTCTGTAGGAGGAATAATGCCATAGGAAGCTATTTGGTTTTTGGTTCCCATCTTTATATTTGAGTATATGCAATAATGCAACCTTCGTTGGAGGCAAAATGAGTGAAGTCTTATTTATGCTGTTTAACAGCGGCATTTGGTTCTTGGCATGTTTGTGTTAAATATAGAAATTAGAGTACATAAAATCTTTTTATTTTTAGTATTATGTATATAATCTGTGATTGTGTCAATTACTGATTTAGTATTGTTTCCTTGTTTATGTCGTTTCCTTATTTATATCGTTTCCTAAATTGTAACATGAATCTATTATGTATACATTTATGTATTATTGATTGATATATTGATATTGTGTTATTGATTGATTTATATTGATGATATCAATTACAATTATTCATGATTCCTATATATAGAAGAGGGTGAGTGTGTAGTAGGTAAGGAGTAGGTGAAGTGGAGGTGGTAGTGGTGTAGTGGGTTAGGTTTAGTGGAGTAGGTGAGGTGGTAGTGGTGTAGTGGGTTAGGTTTAGTGGAGTAGGTTTAAGTGGGTGAAGTAGGTGGAGAGTAGGTGGATTTTAACAGCCCCCCGCAAACTCAAGGGGGGATAGGAACTAACCAACTTGAGTTTGGAAAGAGTAACAAAACAAGAAAATACACAAAAATAAAAGAGGATAAGAGACACTGTATGGTCGTGTCAGACCATTGGTGAAGACACTGGATGGTGGTGTCATAACGGTGTAGAGGACACTGTATGGGGTTGTCATAACCATGTAGAGGACACTGTATGGTGGTGTCATAACGGTGTAGAGGACACTGGATGGCGGTGTCAGACCAATGTAGAAGACAGTTTATGGGGTCATGTTAGACCGGTGTAGCAGACAATGTTGTGACAGTTGTGGTGACAGTTTACGGAGTCTTGCTGGACCCTTGTAGAAACTAACCGGAATCAATGTCAGGTGAACGTACTCGGAGAGTATTTAAGCGCCGTAGTGGCACCGGACGTGGGAATGAATTCAAACGTGATGGTGGTGGTAGCAGGAATTGGGGAACTCCCACTGATGAAATTGCTCCGGAGAGTGAAGAACCTTCCAAAGAAAATGAGAAGAATGTGGATGCTGAAAAGCAATTGGGACAGGAAGATACTGCAGATGCCGAGGTTTGAATTGGTTGAGATCCGGCGGGCGGTCAAGGCAAGGTTGCCGCCCGCCGGAAGGCGAAAAACACCAAGATCTTTAACCTATTGCTCTGATACCATGTAAGAATTTATGTATTATTGATTGATATATTGATATTGTGTTATTGATTGATTTATATTGATGATATCAATTACAATGATTCATGATTCCTATATATAGAAGAGGGTGAGTGTGTAGTAGGTAAGGAGTAGGTGAAGTGGAGGTGGTAGTGGTGTAGTGGGTTAGGTTTAGTGGAGTAGGTTTAAGTGGGTGAAGTAGGTGGAGAGTAGGTGGATTTTAACACAAATAATTCTTTTAATTCTTTTTGGTATCAGAGCTAGGTTAAGTACCTAGTAATTTTGCTTCACCAGCGAGCGGCAGCCTCGTGTTGGCCGCCTGCTGGACCTCAACCCATTCCATGATCATATTTTCTTTCAATATCACTTTGTGGTGATCTCTTCTCTTGTCCATTAGTTTAGTCCTATCCCAAATATCTCTATCATATATTTTTTTTTTATTCGCAATCCATTTTTTTGTGTGTTTCTATTCCACTTTGTCTTTCCCTCTATTTCAACCTCAAATAGGTTTCTATCTTCAAACCTATTTAAGTTTAAGAGGGGGTATTATACTTATATCATGATGAGCATGGTGATATACCATGTGAACCACCTAAGCTGCCCCATCTGGCGCACAACATAAGTTGCCCCCTTGGCGTACCACCTAAGCCGCCTCCCTGGCGCACTTTCTAATAAGCCACCCTTTGCCGCACTCAGTCATTTGTTGCCATTATCGTTCAGCACCACGTCAAAAGTTATGTGTGTGTTACGCTTACTAGTTCAACATCTAGTTCTCTACATCGGTCCGGCATGACCCCTTTAAACTATCTCGACATTGATTCTGGTTAGTCTTTACAACGATTCGACATGACCTCTTAAACTGTCCCCAACATTGATTCCAGTTAATTCCTATAACCTATGAAGCACGGACACCTCTCCGAGGGCTCCGTACCAGTGTCGGACACGGACACGCGTTGGACACGCGGTGGACACGTGTCCGACACGCAGCAGAGAGTGTCCCCTTTTTTTTTTAATTTTTTTACATCCGGACACGTTCTGGACATGTTTGGACACTTTGGGACACGTTCTGCATAATTTACAAAACTTTTTTTGGGGTCGATTTGTAAAAAAACAAAAATAGAGCAATGTTTGCCTCATTCGATTAGAACAGAACAGAAAGGGAGAGAAAGAGAGAATTTGGTCACTTTTCAGTGGTCGCTCGTCGTAGCTCGTAGCTCATAGCTCGTCGCTCGTCACTTGTCAACGGTCCTCATCGGTCGTCGCTCGTCGTAGCTCGTCTCGTCGTCACTCGTTAAGGTACGCTGCTCTTCTTCGTTCTTCGTTCTTCTTCTTCTTCGTCCTTCTTCTCCGATCTCTCTCTCTTAATCGCACTCTCTCTCTCTCTCTCTCTCTCTCAGTTTGATTTTATTTGTTCTTTTATTTTTTTTTCCTTTATATACCCCCCCCTCTCTCTCTCTTCGATTTTTATTTCTATTTTCTTTTTCTGTCTTCAATTTTTTTATTCTATTTTCTTTTTCTGATAATATATATAGATATATATATTATATACTAATAAATATACATATATATTTATATACTAATATAGATATATATTTGAACTAAAAAAAAATCTTTTTTTTTTCTATTTTTTAGATATTATTATTTGCTTAAATAAATTATTTTTATTTATAGAAAAATTTTAATTTGTGAATAATATTTGATATTAAAATAAATAAATAATATTTATATTTTTTAATTGTATATCTAATAAATAAATAAAATTATATATATTGAACGTGTCCCTAGCGTGTCGTGTCCCCTATTTTTTGAAAATTTACGTTTTACCGTGTCCGTGTGTCGTGTCCCGTATTCGTGTCCGTGCATCATAGCCTATAACGGTCCAGCATGACCCCTTAAACTGTCTGAACATTGATTCCGATTAGTTTCTACAATGGTCTAGTATTACCCCGTAAATTGTCCCGACATTGATTCCGGTCAGTTCCTACAACGTTTCAACATAACCTTAAACTGTCTCGACATTAGTTCAGACTAGTTTTTACAACGGTCCGGCACGACCATAAACGATCTTCCGGCATTACCTCCGGCTTTTGATGTCGACCAGGGTCTTGTTGGCTGCCAACCAAGGTGTTTCCTGGCCATAGATGCTTCGGCGACTCTTCTAGGAAAGTTCAGTCCTTGTTTTTTTCCCTTTCTAGGGTGTGGTGTTGATATATTAAACACTTTTTAACCTTTTTTTATTTAGTGGACTACCAAATTTGTTCGGTAGCATTTATTTTGACTAGCCGTTAAGTTTTTTCCGGCTTCTTTCAGTCATTCATTGGCAAATTGCAATTGGTGAATATCTTCACACCAGTTTGAGGGGGAGTGTTGAATATAGAAATTAGAGTACATAGAATCTTTTTATTTCTAGTATTATGTATATAATCTGTGATTGTGTCAATCACTGATTTAGTATTGTTTTCTTATTTATATCGTTTTCTAAATTGTATCATGAATCTATTATATATACATGGCCTCTACCTCATTCATGGCTAAGCCAAAGAATTCTTTTCATTCTTTTGTTTGGTGTGTAAGAAACTTTATTACTCTTGCTGATCAAAAAAAAAAAAAAAAATTCATTATTCTTGCTGTTGTTGCTGCTTCAGCTACTGCTTTTGTGGACCTGTCATGCCCTGAGATGCTTACCTGTCTATGGTTTTCTTTTGCCCCTATTTTGATTCTTTGCAATTAACTATTCCACCTCCATATTTTATAATTCCAACAGCCTTTTCTATATAACCTCTTTGACATTTGGTGCTTCATTTGTTTTTGATTCTCTCTCCTTTCGGAGATTGACTCAAGTGTTGTTGTTGGGCATATGTATTCATCATTCTTATTTATTGGATTTACATTTATTGTTGCTATTTATTATAAGCATTCTCAGTTGGTGGGGTTGTGATTATGGTTAAGCTAACCCCCACAACCATCAAATTTCCAGCATTGGAAATTTTTTCTTTGCAGGAGCTCGCATATTCTTTGAGTCTTTAGATGCTGCAATATTTTTGTTTTCACGCGTTTCAGATATTCCTACAGAAAGCCTGGTCCTCCCAGTGATTTCTACCAATGACAGGCTTACATTGGGTTGTGAATTGTGGGTATGATTATCAGCTTATGTTTTGATGTGTGTAAGTTCAGGATATGCAGGCATATTTCCTGTGATCATTTATCAATTTACCACCTGATAGAAAGGCTCCACGTATTTTCTCCATTAAGACTCTAGTACATATGTTGAAGTATCCAATACTGAGAATTGGCTTTATCTTTTTTCTTTGTTAATTTGTGTATCATTTTATTTTATTTTATTTATTGTTTGTAAGATCTGTGAATTGCTGGAAATATTTCTTGAAAGAGTAATGGTGGGCCCAGGCCTTTAAAGTATAATAATTGACGTGAGTTGAGCATAAATGATTATCAAACTTCTTTCGGCCAAATGTACTAAATAATACTGCTGGGTGCATAGTTTTCAATTAGGGTAATGCATCTTTTATTGTGTTGTGCATAATATCCGTATGTTCTATATTGTGTACTGTGTATCCTTACTTTTTAAATAATCTCTGAGAAAAGGTAGAAAAAGATAGGAATGAATGTATGAAACATTTACGTATTGCAAGAATGAGGCGTAAACTATAGATAATCAATTAATTCCTCCTATAGCATTTTTAATCTGAGGAACTTCACAGCCCAAAGCTTCTAATTTGTGTATGAATAGTTTTTTAAATTAAGGTCAAGTTTGGCATATACAAAATAATCCATCTTTTTATCTTTTTTCCATCACATCACCTCTCTACTTTTCTGCACATCTTTTCATAAAAAGACAAAAAGTACACTTATTTAGGTCATCCCAGACAACCCTTAAATATTGAGACCTTTTATTAACACTTCTTTTCAATATATATAATGTGGAAAAAAAATTCTTCCTATTTTAATATAATAAAATATAAAGGTATTTGTAATGTAAAAATGAACCATTTATTATTGGGAAATTTACTTGAAAATCCCACTTCAAAAATCTGTATACCGTGAAGTCCTTTTTTTTTCATAGACCGGTAGGTCTTGTTCATTTGGAAACATTTTTCTATGAGATCCTATTTAATATATTGTTGTGTCACGACATTTTTGCCCTTATTGATTGTTGGGCTCATATTTTTTTGGAGTAGTGGGTGGATTTTAACAGTATTTGTAATGTAAAAATGAACCATTTATTATTGGGAAATTTACTTGAAATTCCCACTTCAAAAATCTGTATACCGTGAAGTCCTTTTTTTTTCATAGACCGGTAGGTCTTGTTCATTTGGAAACATTTTTCTATGAGATCCTATTTAATATATTGTTGTGTCACGACATTTTTGCCCTTATTGATTGTTGGGCTCATATTTTTTTGGAATGTTGTTTTTGAAATGTGGCATAAGGGTTGATTGAATGTGGAATGTGGCGTGCTACATTTTGGGTGGATTGAATGTGGAATGTGGTTCGATTTCCATAATGGGCATGCTACATTTTGGTTCGATTTCCATAATGGGAATGTGACATGCTACATTTCGAATCATTAAATCTAATTTTTTTGTATGAATAACCTTTACTGTGAAGCCTATGAAGTAGACGGTTTGGATCATCAAAATAAGTCCAAATTAAGGCCCACAAGAGGAGTATGGAGAGATGAAGTATGGAGGGAAGCTTATTCCATTTTTGAAATGTGGCATAAGGGTTGATTTCCAAAATGGGCATGCTACATTTTGGGTGGATTGAATGTGGAACGCGGTTTTTGAAATGTGGCGTAAGGGTTGATTTCCATAATGGGCATGCTACATTTTGGGTGGATTGAATGTGGAATGTGGTTTGTCCAAACTAGCAATGTGACTACAAAAACCTTTTAGTGTACTTTTTTGAAATGTGACATAAACAACTAAAATTAAGGAGGGAATCTTCAAATTGATCATATCATAAAAATAGTGGTAAATGTGTCAATTTACGTAAACAAGAATGTATATATATATATATGTATAAGTTGTGGGACTAGTTGGTCTATAAGTTCTGATTTTAGGATTTATGGGTCAATGCCCCTTTATTATTATCTTCAAGTATGTATATATATATATGTATTTATTTGTGCTCTGGCGTGCCCCGAATTTTTAAACATTTTGCGTTTCTGCGTCGTATTGTATCCATGTCCCATGTCCATATCCATGCTTCTTGGGGTGCCACCGCATTAGTTGGACTGCATGTAGACAAAACTGCCTAGCTTAATATATAGTATAGAACTATAGAATAGGTTGATGATTACCAGCAAGAAAAGTGATTGTCATCTTTGTGTCTCTTGAGTTTATTGCAACAAAAAGTATCTTAGCTATTTTAAGTCTCACTAGAGGCATTGTGATGTGTTCTTGTAAAAAACGGTATAAATGCTGAAAGTAACATCTTCAATGTGGACATGCATTATTTAGGTATATGTCCTTGGTAGAGAATATACATCATACATGGTTTCATCCTGCAGCAAAAAACTTCTTTTCAGCTGTGTTATTGTTCATTCTAAATTCTTTAATTCCATTGAACATATGTGCATTTAGAATTGATTATATCCTAATATTGCACTGTATTTTGGACTCTCTGTGTGCATTTTTACTTATGTTGGATTTGTGCATAGCATGTAAGTTCATAGTATTAATACCAATTATGAAAATAAACATATCCTCTCCATAAATGTTTCCTTGCTCATGGTGAACTCAATTAATGTTACTGCAATGGTTTTTGGGGAAAACATAAACTTAAATTCATGAATTATGATTGGGAGTTTTTTTTAATTAAAAATTTACATTTTTTTGTGTAATTCATGTACAGGATGGTACTATCATACGTGGTCAGAATGAAATATCTCATCCAACCAATGGATCTATGGAACCTATAAACAAGGTATACATTTTTTTTCACCACCAAAAAATATGATGTGTAAGTGTACCATCGGTTTCTTATTAATACAGTTATGTCTCTCAAGTTATGTTTTTCCCTTGTTCATTAACCACCTTTGTTAATAGATTTCTTTTTGGGTAGATGAAATAATTCAATATGAAAGTTGTACCGAAACTAATTTGATTGGAAGCATAAATTATACTTTTGATATATGGCTAACTGGTGTAGAACCAGAAAGCAGTAGCAGAAGAAGAGAGAAGAAGAACCAGACAAAGAAGAAAGGATGCAGAGATGAGGAAATCTGAGATATCTAGAAATCAATCAATATTTGGTTATGCCAAATCAACCTACATTTCTCACATACACAACAAACAATATCCAAGAAGAAAAACAAAAAAATTACTCTAGATGAATCTAATATACTGAAGATAAATTTAATAAATAAAATCCTAATAGCATTAAAATTTCTAGTGTGGGATGGATGGAAAGTTTCTAAAAAGTTTCGATATGTGTCCACAAATACGGAAGCTAAAAAGTCATTAAAGTTTAGTTTTTTTGTTATTCATGATTTTGCATATGATTTGGTCATCACAGCACGGCCTTAGTTTAATGTTAAGCAAATTTTTGGAAACTTTTTGGCTTCTGTATTTGTGGAGATGATGTGGGGCTAGACTTACTGCATATTTTGCAAAAAATTGGGAGACAGCCATTGGCTCAGATTCCATAAAAATATCACCTTGAAAGAAGCCACTCAAAAGGAATCCTTCAAACCCTGACAGGGCCACGTTCCCCCTTCACCCTGGGCTAGGTCTGCCCCTGAAGTGAGCTATCATAGAATGTCACTGCAGGGGCCAATGAATTAAACTCACTCCCTTATTGGTGACTTTTGAAAACTTTTAATTTGGCAGTATGTCCTTCAGCCACTATTTTATTGTGATATAGCAGGCATTCTGCATTTTGTTTACCGCACATCTTTAAGAGTTGAGTGCACTAAATTCTTATAGCTTGCGGTGGTGTGTGCTGGTAATCATGAAAAGAGTAGCAGTGGTGGTCCAGAGATGACATCAATCCTTGTCAAATTGAATTCTGGAGATAAATAGTTGTTAAAATTATTACAACCCCATTGATTTTGGGTTAGCATCATTTTTATGAAACCTTAAGAAGATTGAAATAAATCTTATTCTGGGCTGTTAAATTCCTACCAAACAGTAATCTGGATTTAAGGGCTGAAACTGAAAATTGAAATTCAAATCCATCCCCTATAATCTTTAATTTTGACTATGCTTGAGGAGTATACGTTCTTACCACAAATATGCAGAATAGTTTGAGCCTATGTTACCTGGAACGTGGATTGTTCTAGTACGGGGAACGGGAATGGGAACGTGGTACACCACATGGTATGATAGGGGTAGACTTGTACATATTATACTGGCGAATTTAAGGTACTTTTAGATAATTTTCTATTAATTATCAAGCATCTAATAAAATTTCGTTTTTCTTCTTCATGTAGCAAAACATTTCTACGAGTATTATGACCATTTTTTTTGTTTTGTCTTGTCAAAACTTAACTTACCTTAGATTTTAATTCATTATATTTGATTTTTTCCTCCTAAGGAAACATTTAAGGAAATTTATTGGAAAAAACTTTTGAGATCGTTTTAAATTGCTAAATTTACTGTTTTGGAACATAAGTGTACCATAATTTGGAACATGCATACCAATACGTAATTCGCTAGGGTATTAGAGTTTTTTGGTAACATAGGTTTGAACAGTTGGTGAACATAAAACCATTTGTGCGTGTTTTGTTTTTGCAATTTGTTGATTCATTTTTGGCATTCATATTCCAGATTTCTTATTCATTCAACTGCTTATGGATAGGTAAGCTCTTCAACTCCAGCACTTCCTTCAAGAATAAAGCGGGTGTTCTACATGTCAAGTGAAGGCAACAATTTATTGCATGAGGTAAATAGTACATCACATGCTTGTTGGTTATACCATGCATAGTGGAACAGATGTTATTCTCATAATGTATTATTTTTATATCCATTCCTCACTTACCAAAGAAGACCTATTCTTGTATGCTTGCCATTAGTCATTACTATGCTACAAAGGTCCTATGTGTCTGGAACTCATTTTATTCAGTGTGAGAAATCAATGATTGAAAAATAAATAAATAACAAAATGAAGAGAATGAGTTTGTCATTTTCCTATGATGACATTTGTACACTATGAATTGCAAAGGATATTCTTGTTTCATTCCTTGTTGGATTGATCTACACATCAATAACATGTTGGATATTTTGAAAGTCTAAGTTTTCACTTTTATGTAAGATATGAATTCCATAGAAATTAGACGTCATATTTTGGAAAATCATCCTTTTCCCCTCACCCTGAGTAATGTGATGGTTAATTTTTCTGCCCAATACTGAATCTGTCAAGTAATGAGATGGTTAATTTTTCTTCTTTTTCCTAGAGAACTATGTTGGTTGTGTGACAAATATTTTCTCGAACAATAAGCTATGTGATATGCTACAACTATCATGATTTTCTTGTTTCAATGATGTATTTATTTATTTTTAATTTTGAGCTTTCATTTTAATCCTCATCTAGTTTTACAACTTCTGTTTGTTTGAGAACCTCATGTCAAACCCCACCTTCTTTGCTAGCATGCTAAAGCAATTGATCCTATTCGACTAGTTCTGATGTTTACTGAGCAAACATACTCTGGTTACCTTCTTATGGCCTGTGCTTAAAGCAACTGCAGTTTGATGAACCAGAAATGTCTAGTGGAGTGAAATTTTTATTTTTTCAGTTGTGGTTTGTCTTACATTTTTCAGTATTACATATTTGGTCTAAGATGTTGCAGTGTAGTCCTGAACTTATTGAACAGCAATAGAGTGTGGAGTATATGTCTAGTGGAGTGAAATTTTTATTTTTTCAGTATCACATATTTGGTCTAAGATGTTGCAGTGTAGCCCTGAACTTATTGAACAGCAATAGAGTGTGGAGTATCAGCATCCACAGATTTTCTTTTGAGTTGCATATTCTTTGATATTAATACTTCATTTTAAAAGTTCATGTTAGTATATCTATGACTTATTTTGTCTGCTGTCTAAATAATGTCTGTGCTTTCTATTGAATAGGTTTTTCCCAATGTAAACCCAACTGTCCTGGATCAGTTGAGGACGATTGACTGCATCATTTATGCTATGGGATCCCTTTTTACTTCCATCTGCCCATCTCTGGTAACACTATCAACCAAACTGAAATTTTTTCGGGATAGTCTTTGCAATTTTAATTAGTTATTTATTTTTTGTTTTTAGTAGGCAAGCTTGTATTACTAAGAAAAACTAGAAAAAGGTGAAGTGGATATACAAATCAGTTTTGTCACCAGAAGGATCATTGTCAAGGCCCATTACAGAGATCTTTTTGTGATATTATAATATTATGGGGTTATTATAGAAACGTGAGTCTTGGGCTATTAAAGCAGCTGAAAATACGTGAACAGTGCTTCTTTGCTCTCTTATTAAAACTTGTCAGTCATTTAAAGGATTTTTAATCTCTATGGTTGCTACTTGCTATGTCATACTTCTATCACATGCTGGAGGTTTGGTGGCTTATCTACTTCATGTTTTAATTTGTTCATCTATCAGTTAATCAATTCAATGGAACTATTATTGACAAAGATACTTGGAATCCATAAATAAACAGAGGCATATTCTTATGTTTACCTTATTTAAATTATTTGCTGTACTAATTATGCGGTGTATATCTAAGCTTATCTACTAATCTAAAATTTGAATGAAAATATGTTCTTGGAACTCTTTCTGTTGCCTTATTTTGATCACTGTTGTGGGTAATGGTTCTCTAATCTTGTTTTTTCTGTTGATACGAAACAGTTGTCATCAGTGGTTTGTTAATTGGGAAAACAGAAGAAAGCTTTTAATTTCTATCTTGTACTGATCACTCTCCTTACATAGGTTTTACTTGGCATTGGGGAGATCATCGCTTCAAGGTCTTGCCCCAAGGTAATCTTCTATCAAGGCATCATGTGTATGCTCTTTGACTAGAAAAGAGTCTGTTGAGTAATTATTGTAAATTTGGTTGATAGTTCATGAAGTTACTAAGTCCTTTGTGATTGGCTCTGCTGAAAATATTCAGTTGAGGCCCTTAATTCCTTTGATGTTCGGAGGGCATTAATTATTTTCGAAGACTCTAGCTATTAACCACCTATTGTGGCTCTTATTGTGTAGGGTTGTCAACATTGTTATGTTGTATTAATGCATTTACTTCCTTTATAGGTACTTCTGTTGAATGGCACTCATGACCGAGAAACTAGCGGCTTTTCTGCTGCTTCCTTTGTAACTGCCATTGCAGATGCTCTAAATCGAACTTATGGGGATCCTCATAATTGTCTCAAGAACCTTGTAAGTAGGTAAATTGAATTGTTAAAACTGTTTACATGTCAAGTAAATTTATTATAATAATATCATAAATAAATTTCTTTAAAGTATACTTGTTAGTCTATAAATTGGCAAAACAACTTTATTAGCAATGAAATTTTTTTTTCTCAGGTTGCTTGTGTATGTTGAGGATTCTAATTTGGTATCTCGAAAATATGTCAATATTTCTTTGTTTGTTTGTTGCTTTCATTACATGGAATATGTGCAAATTAAAGGATTTTTTTTGCTTTCTGGAGGTTTGGTTGCTTGTGTATGTTGAGGATTCTAATTTGGTGTCTCGAAAATATGTCAATATTTCTTTCTTTGTTTGTTGTTTTCATTACATGGAATATGTGCAAATTAAAGGATTTTTTTTGCTTTCTAGAGGTTTGGTTGTATGAGGAAAGTCAAGCAGAGGGCTTGTAAGTAAAGAATTTTTTTGCTTACTGGACTCACTCGCAAGAGTGTTGATCATGGGTCCTACTAAGAGATGTTTGCACTACATAGGTGATATGTTGCGAGTGTCCAAGAAGTTTCATTGTAGTGCCCAAAGTTATGCAATTTATTTTCACTATCCCCTCTTCAACGTTGTACTGAACATTTCCGATTCTGCTATCGTCTCTTTATTTACACCACTCTCTTTAATTCTGGCTCTTATCTCCAAAGTTTCCAACTTTGAAATGTGAATGTCATTGCCATCCGTGTACAGGAACTAGCTTTCTAGTATATCCAGAAAATGGTTATAGTTTTACTGTGAACTTATGGGCAACATCTCACTTTAAATTATCATTTGTTTTCTCATACAGCCAAGTCAATACATCAATACACTTTTGGTGCCCAAAGATGGTCAAATTCCCGTAGTTGCTGAATCCTTAGCCACCCAAGGAATCTTTCGTGTGGTATGTGTTTACCATCTTCTAGAGCATTTGATGTACAATTAACCAACATGTTTGTTGTCGGTAGAGAAACATAGCTGTTGATAGCGAAACATATTTATGTAAAAGGTAGAATTCAAAATAAATAAATAAATAAATAAAATTTTGCATATAAAAAATAAAAAATAAAAAGTTTTGGTGGCATCACTGAGTCCTTAAGCCGGTGAATGACAAAGTTCCCTTTGGAAACTAAACCATTGGTGAATGACGAAGTTCATGAATGATCTTTACCCAAGTCCGTTTTATTCAATAATTTGTGGTAGCTGCCTAATTTTAGCAAGATTATGATTTTAAAATTAAAATCTTCATTTACTTTGCAGAATGATGAAACTCTCTCTACTTGTGCACAACTATCCCAAGTGTTCTGATTTAAATCTTGCAGATCACTGTTGATTCTGTGCGTGATCCAAATGTGGGTGTAGTTTTTGAACCCAAATCATTAATACAAGCCCTCGGTGACTTGCTAAGTGGATACACAAGCACAAATGCTATACGGGTTTAGTGAATCTTTGACCAAACAAATGACAAGCAAGGTGTAGCGAACGAATATACATCTGATTGAAATATTGGCTTTAACAGGTCATCTTTTTCTGAGGTACAAGTTTTTCCCATCAATCTTCAATTGCACTGGTATAGATCTTATTCTGTTTTATACTAAAATTTGAATATATTATTTGATACTATGGTAGATTTGTCTCCCTCCGTTTTGAGGATGAAACCAATTCATAACCTTTTTTTTTTTGCCCGAACTACATTTTCTCGAGGAAGTATTGGAGGGGGTGATTTCTCTTGCATTGTTGTATGCTGTGAGAAATTTATTATAGGTATTTATTTGTTTGTTGAGATGTTTATACCTTCAAACCAGGTGTTGCCATTCTTGAGGATGCAGAATGGGAAAAACATGATTTGTATAGGAAGTTCATAGTCATGTAAACCTTGTATGCTATGTATTTTAACTACACTGTTTATAAGCTTGTGCTTGGAAATTTCTCTTCTTTTAAAGTATTTTGAAAAATGGGTAAAATCTCAAGAATGATTTAGCTCCTCATGTATCTGGTTCTCTTTAACCCTTACTGGTTCTCACTTAGCCCAATTCTATAACTGTTCTTTGACTGCATGAGGTGCCAGAGGGCCTGCATTTTAGGGCAACTGGATATTTGTTTGATGACTGCACTTTCTTGAGCCTCCTCATTTTTGTCCAATACGTCTTCATAGCCTCTGATCCTTTGCAATAAGACTGGTGTCTTGTCTTCGAATATGTAAAGCCAACCTCACAGCGAGTGGTGAAAATTGTTTCATGATAGTCGTATTTGTGTCGTGTCATTTCAGATAATCAAACCTTCAACGTGTTTGTTTTTTTTTGTAATCTTGTCGTGCCATATTAGATTTGTGTCCATTTCATGTCGTGTTGAGGTGTCATAGAAAAAATTTCACTTGCATAATTAGACAGTGATGTCTTTGTAATTAAATATGATTTTAATTGATATTTTGTTTTAAAATGATGAGTCTCAGTAGAGATATGTCAATCTGTTTACAAATTTTATTTAATTCTATTTTTCCAATCTCAAAAAGTTACGTCCTATTATTTATTATTATTTTGTTTACTGGGTTGATTACAAAATCATAGATGAAAAAAATTAAATTATCTCAAATGGAAAACAAAAAGATTATATTGACCTTAAAATTAAATATGCTGACACTTTGTAATGAAAACAATATTAAAATGTGTAACTAACTATCTATTAAACGGGTTATCTGTATCAACTATGTATTATGTGAGTTTGACACTGAACTGATCTCTTTATTTATGGTGTTATAGTTTCATATAATAATTGGGTTTGTGTAAAAAAATACTTGCTTTTAAATTGCTAACCTGTCTTTTGCTCCTGTATTTTGTTTTCATTACATTACATCTATGGAAAAATAGAGAACAGTGAAGTTGAAATTAGTACTAGCTTTTTTCCATTCCATTTCTAGGAGGCACTGCAGACAAAAGAGAACTCCAAATGACCTTAACTTATTTGTTCCTATTAGTTAAACATTTAGTTCAATAAGTGTTTTAAAAAGCTCTAGGCGCATCAAGGCGCCAAGGTTACCTAGAGCTTAGGCGCCGTGGCGCGAGGCATGGCGCAAGTTATAGAAGTTAAACAAAACATTAATATAGTACAATTTTCAATGTAAGCAAATATTTAATATGTATATTATTAATTTTTTTAATAAGAAGAGAAGAGAAGAAGAAAAAAAATAATTAATTTTTTTAATATATATATTATTTTATTTATTTATTATATTTTTTAAATAATGTGTTTCAATTAATTTTTTTATTTTATTTTATTTTACATACATGCGTTTATTTATTTTTAGTACTATGTATAAGTATATATTATATTTTATATATTATCTGTAAGTATATTATATATTATATAATAGGTATTATATAGTATATTATATATATATATATGAATAAAAAAGATAGAGAGAGAGAGAGAGAGAGAGAGAGAGAGAGATCGCGATGAGAGAAGGCGAGAGCGATATTGAGTGAGACAGAAGCGAGAGAGAAGACGATGAGGGTTTTTTTCCACTAGAGAGAGAAGACGAAGAGTCGTACCAGAGGAGATGAGAACAGGAGTCGAACCTTCGTCGTCTTAGAGATCGCGATTGCGATCGGGTTTGCTCTTTTGACCCAAGTTTTGATCATTTTATATTGTAATGAGAATTTATTCCATGTGGGTATTCACACCAAAACCAGATGGGCTGTAGCAGTAGAAGAAACGCGAAGTGCCAAAAGCGCACGCCTCGAGCCTCAGAAAAAAACGCATGCCTCATCGCCTCGGCTGTGCCTCCTCTATGTCGCCTCGCCTCGCTATGCATGAGGCACAGAGCTGCGCCTTGCCTCGCCTTGAGCTTAGGCGTGCCTTTCAAAACACTAGTAAGGTCCAAAACTATGAGAAAATATCTCATCACAACAATACAAACAGTAAAAATAATATAACAGAACATTGAATTATATAACGGAACATTGGCTAGGCAACTGAACTTCTGTTGTCTCTCTCATAGACAACTTGCCGGTCATAATGGACTTCCAGACCGATCCTGAATTCACTTTGTTAGAATTTACCATCACCTACCATCACTACCACCTCACCTACTCAACTAAACCTAACCCACTACACCACTACCACCTCACCTACTCCACTAAACCTAACCCACTACCACCATCCACTACACCTACATCTATATAAGGAATCATTTGTAATAGACAGAATATCAATCAATACATCAATCAATAATACATAAATTTTTACACACTTCCAGACCGATCCTTGAGAAAGTTATTTGAATGTAGGTTCTATAAATACCTGTGTCTCTCAAAGGACTAAGTGTGCCCTACTAATTCACATTACTGATAAACATATCCATAATCACCATCAATATGAAGTTGATTTTTGCAGCCTCGTTAATTTTGGGGATGTGGGCTACCCAAGTTGTGTCTCGTACATAGCCTGAAGTGTCAATGGCAGAGAGGCACTAGCAATGGATGGCTCATTATGGGCGCGTCTACGAGGATGATGTAGAGAAGGAAATGCGTTTGAAGATATTCAAGGACAATGTGTTCATGGAGTCTTTCAACAGTGTTGCTGGAGCGAAACCTTACAAGCTGAGCGTTAACCAATTCGCAGACTTGACTAATAAGGAGTTCTAGGCCTCTTATAATGGGTACAAGAGGTCTTCCCTTCCAAAGGCATCTAAAACAAGTACGTTTAGGTACAAGAATGTGACTGTAATTCCATCTAGCATGGATTAGAGAGCAAAAGTTGACTAATGAGGAGTTCTAGGCCTCTCATAATGGGTAGAAGAGGTCTTCCCTTCCAAAGGTGTCTAAAACAAGTTCGTTTAGGTATGAGAATGTGACTGCAATTCCAGCGAAAGGAGCTGTTACTTCCATTAAAGATCAAGGTCAATGTGGTAAGGCAAATGTGACGCCTCAAAGAACGTCAAGTACTATAGCTATATTATTGCGTATCCTTAAATACCCTAAGTCAAACCAACTATCTTATTACACAAATATTTAAAGTGAAGCTTAGAAACGTGTAGTAAGTGAACTTTGAACATAAGGATCTCACGATCAATTGTTAAGACTTAAGAACTAGTCACCTTTTGAACGTAGCGAACAAGTGTGTATCATTTCAAAAGCATTGTTATATGATAAGACCAAATACCTACTACCCTAATTAAATTACCTTACAAGAGAAAGAAGGGAGAAAAGGAAACTCTAAGGAGAACTTAGCTCAAATCCATCATAGAAGGTGTTCTAATGTAAGATTTGATCTTAATTCTTGTAGTAAACCAATGTACCATCTAAGATTAAGAAGAAACTAGAATCAATTTGAGTTAGAGATGAAGAAATAAAGAAAAAAAATGAAGAAGGTTAAGATAGGTTAAAATAACAAAAAGGTGGTTGTAACGGTTCGGGTCGAGATCCAAGTTTTTTGTCAAAAATTGGACTTAGTTCTGAAAATTTTCTATGTGTAAAAATTGGATTTTTCAAAAATTGTGATTTTGAAAATAATATTTGGCGGTAATTGTTCCTTATGTATTAAATAGTCTAATTAGATTTTATAAGATTTTTCTACGAGGTAATAATCACTTTACTTCAACGTCAAACTTAGAAATTTCAGTTAGAAAATTATTTTTGTACTAAAATTGGGGAGTCACTTTTTTATTTAACTGGATTTTGATTTATTTTTTTTTTTGTTTCTTTGAATCCAAATGGGGGGTATTTCCTTATTTACATTGTAGATTTAAGTAAATGAAATATAAATATAAGAGGCTAAATGAAAGCATTTACTTAAATGGTTACATATGGAAATAACTTTGATGTGTTGGGAATGCCTTAGGCACTGAGCTGTGTGACTAGCTATGTTTAGGATGACCGCTCGAGTGGTCAAGTGGTCGCTCGAGTGGAGACACGAGACTCCTAGTATTTTCACTGTAGATCTGCAAAACTTCTGAGAGATTGCGTTCATTGCTCCAGCAGTAAAATGTTCGCTCGAGCGGTCTGTTCGGATTCAACACTTTAAAAAGTCATTTTTGGCCATATTTATTGATTCTTCCATATTCTTTCTCTTCCTCTCCCTCTTTTCTGCCATTGTTGAGCTCCAAACCTCCTTAAACCTTAGATTTCATCTCCTTAGAGTGAGAATCTCACCCTAATTCCTTATACAAAAATGAAGAGCACGAAGAGGGCTTCATATTAATCTGAGCAGATCGTGTTTTCATCGACGTGGATTTTTGGGTCTCTTTCTCTCCTTGCTAGAGGTAGAGATTTCTTGCTTCTCTTCAATATCTTCGTATAGATAGATGGGTGGTATGTTTCTATTGCATAAAACCTTGTGTTAAAAGGGATTTCCTTAAAAAGCATGTAGAGAAATGTTAGGATTTCTAACACAAAAGAGTTGACTTATGATTTAAAGTTGATTATGAAAGCTTTGAGCTATTGAAATATGATTATGCATTTTAGAGTGAAAAACCCTAATTTTTGTCCAAACCCTAGTTTTGAATTTTATTTAAACATGGGTTCTTCTTCAATTGGCCTTAAATTCTTGAAATTGATTTGATACTTAGTTGAATTGAGTATGAATGTTGATTATTAGATGTTGTGAGAACAATCCTTGCGGGATGGGTTCATGATATAGTAATTGGTGATGGAAATTTGTGTTACGAACTATGGAAAGTATATGATACTAAATGGGTTGATTAATTGAAATGAAAAGAGTTGATATTGAGGTGTGGGGAACATTGTGGAAAAATAAGTCATGTTTGTTTATAAAGGAGAAACTTAATTTTTGTTGTTAAATGAGTTTTGGTATGATTTTCTGGATTGAAATGAAGAATTGATGGGTTAAAATTTGAAAAGAGGGTCCGTTTCCTTCCGACTTGGGACCGGTAAAGCGTGGTGCTTGATAGAGGTTCTGCATTCCTTTTGGAGTAGCGCCCGGTAAAGCGTGTGGATTGTTGGGCTATATGGAGATTCCGCTTTTCTTCCAATTAGCCATTGGTAAAGCATGGTGCTTGAGACAGGTTCCAGTTTTCCTTTTGGAGTAGCTCCCGGTAAACTGTGTGGGTATGGCCTAGGTGAAGCAGGTTGTTAGCATGTGGATATTGTTGAGAATTCTTGTAACAATTCAGTTATGTGATTGTGATAATTGTTAGATGTAGATTGAAGAGTGTAATGTAGAATATTTTGTTAATGAGTTGACTCTTATAATCCAATTATATGAAATGTGTTGACATATGTATAAGATTGGTGTTATGTGAATTATGTTGGGGTGAAGGGTTGTAGTAGAAATTGAAATGTGTAAATGGACAATATTGAAAACAATCGAACTTAATAACTACAATGTGCGAAATGTGTGTGGTGTGTGGTGTGTATGTGTTTGGTGTTTTGTGGGTAATGGTAAGGTGACGAGTTGTGGTGTAATTGATGAGTGTGAGATATGAATTAGAAGTAGTAAATGATTAGTCGGTTTAAAACCTTTATCTAAGGAAAAGAGATTTAAGAAAATCATTCGAATGAATTTTGATGAGATATAGAGTTAAAAAGGAGGTTTTTATGAAATGTTCAAGTGGGATTTTGTGAAAGCGTATCCATTTATGTAATCTATTTTGCATGTAAAAGGACACATTATTTATATATGTTTCACTTGATAGTATTCATGATCACATTTATCTATTGATTATTACTGTTTAGAATCACTGTAGATCCCTACTAGACCTTGTTGTTTAACCATTTTTCAGGGACTGAGTTGGGCACAATAATTGGAAGATCAAGATGTAATTTATTGTGTTATGAGCCCATCTTGTGTAATTGTAAGTGAAAGATTAAAGGGTTGTGGTGTTGAGATGGTTCTTTCTATGTAATTAATTATTTTGAAATCTATTATGAAAGCCTTTGAGGCATGTTTTCTGAATATTTGTAGTGAACATTTTTATCATTGTAATTATGAGAGTGAGAACCTCATTTATCCTAGTTAGTTTGTGTTGCTCCTATAACTATTACTGGAAAATGAACTTTTATAAGAAATTTGGTAAATTATCTGTGAAATAAAATTGAAGGCGTGACAGTGGTCCTAATTCATGCTAATATAATATTGTTCTTGTTGTTCTTGATTCAAAAGGGGTTGTATTCTCACACTATCATAGGATTTTTTACTATAAACCTGATTTCATGTTTTGAAAGAATGAATAATAAGGGTTTGAATAAGAGATAGGATTCATAAGAGTTCTTGAAATAAATTCATAATTGGACCTTTGTAGCATGTTTTGAAGATTATGATTGATTTGGAAAGAAATATATTTTCATGATAACCTTAATGAAACGACAGGTTATTCTTTTCTTTTGAAGAACTTGAATATGAAACCTAAGGATGGAAAACTAGGCAAACAATGAAAAGTTAGGGAAGTTGCTTGAGTTGAGAAATTGAAAGCCTAGGTAATTTAGTAAACCTTAAGTGAAGAGTTTAATAAGTGAGGTTAATTACGCTAACTAAGTTGGGACTTAAACAAAATTAATTAAAACTAAGCCTGATTAACTAACCTAATGAGATAATTAGTAAGCTAAGCTAATCACTCCTACAAATACCAGAAAGATGGAGAAAGTTGGAGAGAATTTGAGAGAGTTGGTGTTCTTGAAGAGCTTGGTAGAGAAACAAAAGAGAGAGAAGAGAAAAAGAGAGAAAATTTAAGGGAGCCAAGATTCAATCCTAGAAAACCAAAGAAATTCATAAGAAGGTAAGAAATCTACCCCTCTTCCATGTTTCGTTATCAAAACCTAGCTAGGTAATCAATTGAACTACGTTTTGAAAGAATTTAAGTGAAGAAAAATGAGAAAGTTAGAACCTAAGAAAGAGTTTGAAGATTTGTTGGAAAGAAACATGTTTTGATTTGTTTTTATCATAGATTTGAAACATACAAGTGTTATGCCATGAACCTACACCATTTCTTTATACTTAGAAACCTTCAAATGAAGGAATAAAGAGAAATTTGAAAAAGATATAAAGATTGAATTAAATCTTATCTTTTGGATGTTTTGATCTTAAAACCATGTATATAAATGAGTTTTTATCTGTTTTACATCATGAATATGTGTATTAGGATGGTAAGAATCATATTTTGGGTTTTAAAAGCATGAATGCGGCATGATGCACCGCACGTGCGGCCAGCCCTCCGTACATGCGGAATTCATTCCCGCACGTGCAGCAATCCCTACCTAGAAAACAACTTTGAAACAGAAACAATGCGGCCAGGGTTCTGCAACTGTGGCCCTATGCTCCGCACGTGCAAATTGCAAGGCACTAGCCCGTTTTGTTTTCTTTTCGTTTCCTTTGATCCTCGGACACCCTTATATGTGTTTTGAACCTAATCAAAAGTTGATTATGACTAGAAGCTAATCAAAATTAAGATAAGGTATGAAAGAAAAACTCAATTAAAAAGTTTGATTGTTAAACCTTTGTTTCATCAGTATTTGTGTTCTTATATGTAGGCTGAGGCCATTAAGAAGTATTGTCGAGCATGAGCCATCTATGAGTAATGTTATTGTAAAACTATGTTTGAAAATTAGTTTTGAAAACATTGGTGATAGATATCATGATTTTGAGAAATTTTTATTTTGATTGTAAATGAATGAATATCCTGTATTTTGTTTAAAGTTATCAATGACATCCTTAGATAGTCCCAATCATTTGAAGGGATAGTCTAAATATACCATGACGATGTTCGAGCTCCACTGCCACTGAAGTGTGGATTGTCTAATCATACCCGGGTCGATCATTCCATTAAGAGGCTCTAATAGATGTAACCATATATCATGCTTTGTTTATGAGATAATCTCATGAATTGTTTGAATGCTTTTGGAAATGCGATATGATATCTATGTTTTGTAAATGGTTTGGGATTCATTCATTATCACTTTACTATAATATTATTTCACTGAGCAATGGCATACCCCTCTCCTTTATATATATATGTAGGTGACGAAGAGTTTCAGTACGAAGGAAAGTTTTTTAGAAGCCAGTTTTTTTTTTTGTTACAGAAGAAGCCAGTTTCATGTGTTTGTGCTGATTTTGTGAAAGTTATGGCGTAAGTATTGTATTGTATTTAATTATTGAAGTCATGTAGTTATGTAAGATAATAATCCAAGACAAATGTATGCTTTCATTTCATCTAGTTATGCATTGTTCTAAATGGATGTTTCAAATTGACTCAATATAAGTATGTAATTGCTTCCGCACTTAAAATTAAAAATTTGCCCCAAATATTCGAAGAGTCCAACTGGTTTTGTAAGCCAGGCCCCGATCACCTCACTATCCTGTTTGGGACAAATTGGGGTCGTGACAACAAAAGAAGCTAATTAGAACTTATCTATAGCAACTACTGGGTAACATGAATGTTGTGCCCTAAATGACAATTTTTGGACTTTACATTCAAAAAAACAAGAAACAATTTTTTTTACGACTTACACTATTTTGAGGAGCAACATCCCTACTGCGCAACATTTTATTACTAGTTTATGATTTAACTAACTGAAACCTTTGATGCTATTCGAACAATACAAATATTGTAGGATGTTGCTGGGCATTTTCAGCTGTTGTAGCCACAGAGGGAATTCACCAGCGCTAGCTTCTCTGTATAATAAATTCTGAATTATATAGTAATGAAATTGCATGTCATTTTCTTCTATACAGGAAGATGGATACGGACACAAGTCATGATGGACATGCAAATATGACATGTCGGAGACATGTTGTAAAAAATATATATAAATATATTGGTATGTATTATAAATCTAATAAAAAAGCAACATGATTTTAAATTAAAATAGCGATAACAAGAACACAAATAATAATAATATTACCAAAGTATCCAAACAAGGAAAGCACCAGTGTGATTTGTTAGATTAACAGTGTACTACCAAAGGCGTTATCGTAATTGAACCAACTTTATTTATTTATTTATTTATTTTTGGACAGTTGTGTAAGTTCTCAACTAAATGTATACGTTCTCAACTAAATGTATACATTTGGATGTTTAGATGCGAATTCCTAAATCAAATCATCCATAATTTTTTATAATTATTCAAAATCATCTATAATCTTGAGTTACAATAGGATCTCAGTTCTTTATCCATGGTCATTTTATGTGTTGTGTGTTTTATTTTGATTTCAAACTAGTTAAATGTTCAATGAACAAAGAAAGAAAGAACAAAAACGACTGAACTCCTGGATTGACGGGGAGCTTCTATTTGCACACCACCATTTATCTCATCACACGTTATTACTTGGATCACACCACACATTATTTTGACTGTTTTTGCTTCTTTTTTTTTTCTCAATTCACACCACCTAATTCCCATAATACCATTATCTCCAACCTTTTACCCCTACCCAACCCTAACTCTGAAGGAACCACTCACTGCGGCCACCTTTGACGTGGCCGGTGCCACCTCCTCCCCTCCTCGCCACCACCTCCCTAGCTCCCAGCCCTCTGTTTACTAACCTGTCGCCCCACCCTCTCAAATCCTAATTACACAAGAAACGCTCTAAAGTCTGAAATTATATTACTGTTTACCATTACACATCTACCAAGCCTTTGTTCACTAGGCAGTTCAGTATGTCTACTACAGCAATATATGGACTAAAGCAATCTTTGTCAAAAGAAGCACAAACTTGGAGACAAATACTAGAATTTCTGCCTTAGAACCCAATTTCCACAGTAATGAATATGACTATGAGCATAATTGAAATTTTTACGAGTTATATATATTTTTGCATTGATAAAAGACCATTCATTATTTCTTGAAGCTCAATTTCTCCCTATATGAACCATATAATGAAAAGAAATCATGAACTAAAATAAAAGCACTTGTCTTCCATCCACATGATAGGGAAGAGCATAAACCGAAACATTTTGAAGCAACAAAAATAGTGTTATTAAACCATTAGCAACGCATAAAAATATTCCTCCTAGAGTAAGCAGCTTGCAATATTGATTATAGCCATTGAGATATGACTCTTTTCAAGGTTCTCTGTCTTTCCTAGTTAACTTCATCTAAAATAGGGATGACCTGTATACTCAACAGTCCATGGGCCAACCATTTTACTGACTAATTCAAGGCAGTTGCCACCTGGATAAAATGAGAAGGTAAATTACACTCACCTCCCCCAACGTTTAAGAAAAATATAGTAAGCTCCACACTTATGAACCTCCATAGTAGTAAGGGCTAAAGCAATCGAAACTAATGTATATGGTGGACAGATACATAAATAAACAAAGATAAATATACATTTTAGTAAAAAAGAGATGTCAATATCATTGTTTTCCATTCATACTACTAACGAATTATTGATGAAAAAGGGCCTAACTGTAATTATATCAAAAGTGTTGGGTTAACTGTAATTTCTCTAAACCTCAAGGGAGGTGAGTGTAATTTACCCTAAATAATATTGCAAGGAGGAGCCACAAAAATGATATTGTAGTTGCATATGCAACAATGAAGTTGAAATTAGTACTACTTTCTTTTTTTGAGTCCATTTCTAGAAGGCACTGCAGACAAAAGGGAACTCCAAATGGACTTTAATGTAATGCCAGATTGTCCCTAGTATTTAAATATTTAGTTCAATAAGGTCCAAAACTGTGGGAAGATTGCTTATCAGAACAATACACACAGTAAAAATAATATATAACAGAACTTTGAATCTATGTAACGTAACAGCAGCTCAGCAACGTAACTTTGGTTGTCTCTTTCATAAACAACTTGCCGGGCCTCTTTCGCAGGACTCAAATGACACTAGGAATGCAGTTTCAGTTTCATACCAATCTTTGAGGAAGTTATTCAAATGCAGTTCTATAAATACCTGTGACTCTCAAAGGACTAAGTGTGCATACTAATTCTCATTATCTGAAAAACAAATCCATAATCACCACCAATATGAAGTTCATTTTAGCAACATTGTTGATTTTGGGGATGTGGGCTTTTCAAGCCATGCCTCGTACGCTGCCTGAAGTGTCCATGGTGGAGAGACACAAGCAATGGATGGCTCGTTTTGGGCGCATGTATGAGGATGATGTAGAAAAGGAAATGCGTTTCAAGATATTCAAGGACAACATGGAGTTCATCGAGTCTTTCAACAACGTTGCAGGGGCGAGGCCTTACAAACTAGGCGTTAACCAAATTGCAGACTTGACTAATGAGGAGTTCCAGGCCTCTCGTAATGGGTACAAGAGGTCCTCCCCTCCAAAGGCATCTAAAACAGGTTCGTTTCGGTATGAAAATGTGACTGCAGTTCCAGCTAGCATGGACTGGAGAAAGAATGGAGCTGTTACAGCCATTAAAGATCAAGGTCAATGTGGTAAGAGAGAAGACCCTAATTAGAACTTATCTACAACAATTGATGAACAATTTGGATGTTGTGCCTCAAAATTATATGATTTTTTTGGACTCAAGTAAAAAATAATTAAAATTTCTACAACTAACTTGAATTCCAAAATTGTGTTGTTTTGAGCCTAGTAGAGACCCCAAATCTTAATATATTATTGCTAGTTTATGATTTAACTAACTTAGACCTTTGTTGTTATTCAAACAATACAAATATTGTAGGATGTTGCTGGGCATTTTCAGCTGTTGCAGCTACAGAGGGGATTCACCAGCTCAAAACCGGTAAGTTGATCTCATTGTCAGAGCAAGAGCTAGTGGATTGTGACACAAGTCAAGATCAAGGTTGTGGAGGCGGTGAAATGGACAACGCCTTCAAGTTCATAATAAACAACAATGGGCTCACAACAGAAGCAAACTATCCTTATGAGGGAACTGATGGAACTTGCAACACTAACAAGGAAGCCTCGCATGCAGCCACAATCACTGGTTATGAGGATGTGCCTTCCAATAGTGAGTCAGCATTACTCAAGGCCGTGGCTATACAACCTGTGTCTGTTGCGATTGATGCCAGTGGATCTGCATTCCAACACTACTCGAGTGGTGTTTTCACGGGAGACTGTGGAACTCAATTAGATCATGGTGTTACAGCAGTTGGATACGGGACTAGTGACGATGGCACCAAGTATTGGTTGGTTAAGAATTCATGGGGCATGAGCTGGGGCGAGGGGGGATATATTAGAATGCAAAGAGACATTGATGCCGCTGAAGGGCTATGCGGCATTGCCATGGATGCTTCCTATCCAACTGCTTGAATTGCAAGAAATACCTAGTTTTTTTGCTTATGTTTGTGTGTTGTGCCATTCTGGTTTTGGTTGTGTATGAGGTTGTATGGTAGCTTCTTTGTACAATAAATTCTGAAATATATTAACGAAACTGCATGCCATTGGTTCTTCTATTTATGATTATCAGATGGGACACGAACATGCAAACACGATATTTTTCTAAAAATTAATGGACCTGATAGGGACGCGTTGTATAATATATATATCCAACAAAAAAAGTGTTAAAATTCACCTACTACACACCTACCACTACCACCTACTACACACTCACCTACTTCACCTACTCTCCACCTACTCCTCACCTACTCCATACCTACTACACACTCACCTATTCTCTTCCCACATCCTCTCGTCTATATATAGGAATCATTGTAATATATCAATGTATCAATCAATAATACATACCTACTCTCCACCTACTCCTCACCTACTCCATACCTACTACACACTCACCTATTCTCTTCTCACATCCTCTCTTCTATATATAGGAATCATTGTAATATATCAATATATCAATCAATAATACATACAGTTTATTCTCTCTCTCAATTTATTTTTACAAAAAGCAACGTGATTTAAAATAAATTAGGGATAAGAAACACATAAATAACAATAATACTATCAAGATAAGAAAATCGCAATTGATTAGTGGGTTGTGGTTAACTCCTGGACCCTTGGTATGCTCTAAATAAAGAGATCAACCCTAACCTAAATTTGATTAGTGTTTTCCATTGTTGCCAATATTGTCTGCAGTAAAACTGCTCAAACATGATTTCCAGTGGGTCTGTGAAGCTTTTTATGTATATATGAGAGCATAGCAAGTTAGAGGGAAGCTCAAATTGGTATAATTTAGTGAGTTTCTCGTTAGGGCTGTGGCACTGAACTGCCCACACCACCGCAATCTGAACACTTCCAATAGGTAGTAGGACAAAGACATAGTCAACACTGTTTGATGACTTGCGTTTGCTAAGAATTTCTTGTTGAAGACCAACAATTGCAATAATCTATTTCTACAATGATGGAATTTCAAAGATTACCCTAACCTATTGGCTAAGACTATAGACTCGTCGAGTACATCAGTGTAGTGCTCGTGTGGCCCCTTGTGTCAAACTTTGGCAGCCATAAGTGTTTACTTTGACAACTTTCACTCAATATTCTATTTATCAAAAAAAAAAAACTCACTCAATACTCATAACTAGGATTGGTACTGGCAGGCTCATAAACTGCTTTGAACTTTGGCCATAAACATGAGAGTGGTGTGCTCAAAGTAGGGCAATTAATGCCAGATTGAGCTCAAGGCAATTTTTTTATTTTTTTTAATCATGTTGAGTTCAAACAGTATACTCTCCTTGGGTCTACCAAAGGCATTGTGATGGAAATCGAATTTAAAAAATAAAAAATATTTTATTTTAATTAGTATTTGATTAGGATTATTAATTATGGATTGAATCCTTAGTTTCATGTTTATTTAGGATTTCTATTTCGTTTATTTTCTTATCATACAAGAACTAGGATTGCTTGCATTACAAGAAGTAGTTTTATTTCTTAATAAGTCATTTTCCTTTTTAAGAGCTAGTTGTTTTAGGAATTTTCTTTTATTATAAATATGGTTAAGTACATTGTTGATTCCATCAAGGAATGGTAAAAAAATAGGCGGTCCTTCATCGAATATTGGTGGTTTATTCCAATTCACCATTGGATCTGGAATAATAATTGAAGTGAATGATCACTCAACCGTATCCTCTTCCAGGTGGGGGTTCAATGGTTCTCTTGGCGCTATGAACAGGACTCAAGTGCAAGCTCTGATACCATGCAACGGGAAACATGAAAAGTAGAATCTGAAGTAAAAGAAAATCACAAATCTTCTACAAATCTGTTGAATCCTAAGATTACTAGAATTATAGGAAAAGAAGAAAAATATCTCAACTAAACTGTATACCAATTATCATCAACTGATTAAACCCTAATGCTCACAACCATTAATAATATACAGTTGTCTGAATTTTTTACTAAATGTATCGTATGTACTCCTAAAGAACCCTTTAGAACTCCAAATGCCATAATTATTTGAACATATACATACATATATATAATCTAATTCTAGTACTGCTTGCTATATTTGTACTGTAGGAAAATAAAGACATTAAAGTCTGAAATTACAATACTGTTTACCATTATATATCAACCAGACTTTTGTTCACTAGAGTGAGCAGCATGCAATATTGATTATAGCCATTTAGCTATGACTCTTTTCAAGGTTTTGTTTATATCATAAAGAAACAACACACATCCACAACAATGGCTTGCCAAGCTTTTTACCTTTCCCAGTTAACTTTATCTAAATAGGGATTAAATACATACATCAACAACAAAAAATTTCCTTTCATACCTAAGAACCAAAAAGGAAAAAACAGAAGGCACTTTATTTTTATTCGGTATGACAATGGACTTTCACAGTTCACATTACAGAAACATAAATTACGTAACCTAAACTGTGATTAGTATATTGATTTCCTAAATAGCACACATTTAGTTCACCACAGTAACCATGATTTGAATTGAAGTGATATAAAAATGGATTCTATGTTCAATTGAACAACGTTAACGATACTGAACTTGTCTGTCAAAGTCCTTACACTTTGCCTGACAAGTTGGGAACTTAAATGAAACATCACAAAATTCACTTCACATTGTATTTGTAGTATTGCAGAGACAAATCATCAAGGAAGTATAGCATCTCCTCTATATAAACCCTAAAACTCACCAATTTGTGAGTTCAAAATACTACAGCCTTTTCAACATTTACAAAAATAGCTTTGACTCTAGGAAGAAAATTTGTCATTGCCACTTTCCTAGTTTTAGGGATGTGGGCTTCACAAGCCATGTCCCGTGCGCTACAAGAATCATCCATGTCTGAGAGGCATGAGCAATGGATGGCCGTTATGGGCGTGTCTACCAGGACAGTGCAGAGAAAGAGAGGCGGTTCAAGATATTCACGGAGAATGTGGGGTTCATAGAATCTTTCAACAGAGCTGGGACTCAGTCTTACAAGTTGGGCATCAATCAGATTGCAGATTTAACTAATGAAGAATTCAAGGCCTCACGTAATGGATACATGTTAGAATTTACCAATTTACTCCTCCACCTACCATCTCCACTAGCACCCACTTCACCTACCACCTCCACTACACTACACCTACTACCCAAACCCTCTCCTATATAATGCCACTCTGATTTGTAATACTAGTACTCACTCACTTATTTAACACCCAATCAAATCCAATCTAATTAACTATTATGCGGTGTTTTGGCAAGTTGGTAAAAACTAACTTTTTAACTTTTTTGAGTCACGCTATCTCTCTATTTTTTTACACAAAAAAGCCACGAAAAGCTAAAAAGCGAGCTTTCTATATCTATATCTATATATAAAGAAAATGGGGTTTCTAACCCACAAACTTTATGAGAGTTCCGATATCCCAATCTTAATTTTTAAATTTTTTGATTTAAAAAAAAAAACTTAACATTTATTAATTTCTCTCAATCCACAAGCCTTTTGGGGGATTTGGTTTTGGGGATTTGGTCAAAACCCCCTCATAATAAAGGTGATGCGACGTTCACCGGCCATTCTCACTTCGTCGGTGAACGCGAGCTCCGTCTCTGGGACCTCGCCACTGACACCACCGCTCGCCATTTTGTCAGCCACACCAAAGATATCGTCTCCGTCGCTTTCTCAATTGACAATCGTCAAATCGTTTCAACCTCCAAAGATCGATCAGTAAAGCTGTGGAACACATTGGGAGTACACGATTCACTCATCATAGTTTCAGTACATCGATGGCCTCACCCATACAGTAGCCGAGGTCCACCGAGAGTGACGACGGAGGATGCCGATTTGGCGATTTTCTCTCGCGTCGCCGCTGCCTTTCTCTCTCTACCAATGGCCGAACTTCTCCAGTAAGCCCTTCTATCAAATCCTCCGGCGACTTGATGGAAATTGGCACCAGATCGTCGGCCTCAATGTCGCTCAAAACGGCGTCGTTGTCCTCCTCACCGACACTCGCCATTCTTGCTTATACTCTCACAAAGTTTGGCTGAGAGATCTGAGACTCACGGCGATCAAAGAAAACGCCAAGTTCAAAAACAAGAAGGATCCAGGGAAGGGGATCGAGAACATAGTGAAGATAGCAAAGGAGAAGTACAGGCTGAGACACATGTACGTGTGGCATGCGATCACGGGATACTGAAGGGGGTGTTTGTGAGGTCGGCAAACGTGGAAGGAGAGGGACGCAAGTGGAAGCGAGTCTGCAACACATGAGCTGTAAAGGAGCAGACATCCTCATACATAAAAAAAGAGAGAAATATCTTTTAAAATATTCTCCACTCACGTGAGTGGTAGAGGAGCAGACATCATCATACATAAAAAAAAAAAAAAAAAAAAAAAAAAAAAAAAAAAAAAAAAAAAAAAAAAAAAAAAAACAACAACAACAACAACAACAAAACAAAACAAAACCAAACCACCACAAATCGCCACAGTGGGATTTCCCTTCTCTACTCTGCCGCCGGTCTCTTCTTCTTGCCTCCGTCTTGGCCAGTCCTTGACGGTGCTGCCCCTGTGTTTTCCACGCCGCCCAGCACGTTCACTCTCCCAAAGTCTTCCACTGCAGCATATGGCGGCCCTCCGAATCGGAACATCACGGTGGCCTTCCGCTTCAGCTCCTTGTTTTCTGCCCTTAGCACGCTTATCTCTGCTCGCGCATCCTTATAACTAAACTGTATACCAATTATCATCAACTGATTAAACCCTAATGCTCACAACCATTAATAATATACAGTTGTCTGAATTTTTTACTAAATGTATCGTATGTACTCCTAAAGAACCCTTTAGAACTCCAAATGCCATAATTATTTGAACATATACATACATATATATAATCTAATTCTAGTACTGCTTGTTATATTTGTACTGTAGGAAAATAAATACATTAAAGTCTGAAATTACAATACTGTTTACCATTATATATCAACCAGACTTTTGTTCACTAGAGTGAGCAGCTTGCAATATTGATTATAGCCATTTAGCTATGACTCTTTTCAGGGTTTTGTTTATATCATAAAGAAATGACACACATCCACAACAATGGCTTGCCAAGCTTTTTACCTTTCCCAGTTTAACTTTATCTAAATAGGGATTAAATACATACATCAACAACAAAAAATTTCCTTTCATACCTAAGAACCAAAAAGGAAAAAACAAAAGGCACTTTATTTTTATTCGGTATGACAATGGACTTTCACAGTTCACATTACAGAAACATAAATTACGTAACCTAAACTGTGATTAGTATATTGATTTCCTAAATAGCACACATTTAGTTCACCACAGTAACCATGATTTGAATTGAAGTGATATAAAAATGGATTCTATGTTCAATTGAACAACGTTAACGATACTGAACTTGTCTGTCAAAGTCCTTACACTTTGCCTGACAAGTTGGGAACTTAAATGAAACATCACAAAATTCACTTCACATTGTATTTGTAGTATTGCAGAGACAAATCATCAAGGAAGTATAGCATCTCCTCTATATAAACCCTAAAACTCACCAATTTGTGAGTTCAAAATACTACAGCCTTTTCAACATTTACAAAAATAGCTTTGACTCTAGGAAGAAAATTTGTCATTGCCACTTTCCTAGTTTTAGGGATGTGGGCTTCACAAGCCATGTCCCGTGCGCTACAAGAATCATCCATGTCTGAGAGGCATGAGCAATGGATGGCCGTTATCGGCGTGTCTACCCGGACAGTGAAGAGAAAGAGAGGCGGTTCAAGATATTCACGGAGAATGTGGGGTTCATAGAATCTTTTAACAGAGCTGGGACTCAGTCTTACAAGTTGGGCATCAATCAGATTGCAGATTTAACTAATGAAGAATTCAAGGCCTCACGTAATGGATACAAGATGTCTTCCCGCCTAAGGTCCTCAACAGTAACACCATTTAGGTATGAAAATGTGAGTGCAGTGCCATCTAGCATGGACTGGAGAAAGAAAGGAGCTGTTACCGCCATTAAGGATCAAGGTCAATATGGTAAGTGAGCCTATCCACCTTTCTCAAACTCACCTTGTGTGACTAAACCTTGCACATTCATATATATATATATATATATAGTATTTATTTTTCGCTTGTGCTCTTTGATGAACAGGAAGTTGTTGGGCATTTTCGGCAATAGCTGCCACAGAAGGGATCACTCAACTCACAACAGGAGAGTTGATCTGGCTCTCTGAGCAAGAACTAGTGGACTGTGACAGGAGTAGCAAAGATGCAGGCTGTGAAGGTGGTTACATGGAAGATGCTTTTGACTTTATTGTCCACAACAAAGGCATTGCTGCTGAAACAACTTACCCGTATGCAGCAACTCAAGGAACTTGCAACACTCAGAAGGAAGCTTCCCATGCAGCCAAGATCACAGGCTACGAAAAGGTGCCTGCCAATAGCAAGGCAGCATTGTTGAAGGCCATGGCTAATCAACCAGTTTCGGTATCCATTGATGCTAGTGGATACGAATTCCAGGTTTACGTGACTGGGGTTTTCCCAGGAGTTTGTGGGACTGAACTAGATCATGGTGTTACTGCAGTTGGATATGGGACAAGTGATGCTGGTACCAAGTATTGGTTAGTCAAGAATTCATGGGGTACTACCTGGGGAGAGGAGGGATACATAAGAATGCAAAGAGACATTGATGCTAAGACCGGCCTATGTGGAATTGTCATGGATGCTTCTTATCCAACTGCTTAGAAGTAGTAAGTGATGGGTGGATCTTCATCTTGAATTTCCAGCTCTGTGATCCCAGCCTATTGTGCTTGCTACGTATGTGCGTGGTGTTCTTCTTAGTACTTATCCTTGTAAATGTGTGTGAAGCATTAAGTTTCATATAAATAAATCTTTGGTAATGCAACTACAAAATAGTCTATATTTCTTCCCAATCATATTTCATTTTCCTTCCATATTTTCTAGCCAGAAAACAAATGGAGCCCTTTGATCTGCAAAAGCAGAATCAGAAGTATTACGAATTCAAACCACAAACCTAACAACAAATCTCAGCCCAATCGATAATATCACACATTTGATGCTATGCCACTTCAAAGTATTTGCTTAATGATTGTGATGTGTTAATCATGTTTGATCTTGCAAGTGTGTGTACTGCAAATAAAGCTAAAAATTTTCCAAGTAGAGTGCATAGCATTAGTATTTTTCTCTGAAATCATACTAGAAGTTCCATAATTGCTTGCAAATGATCAGAAGTGATCTCCAAAATCCAAAAAAATCCTATACAAAATGTTGAAGAGATGATCTACTGATTCCCCATTTTTCTTATACATAACACCAATTCACAATAAGTCTATTTCTCTTAATAACTTATCCAACGTAAAAGTCTTCCTATGACGCTACCCCGAAGGAACATTCATATTCCCAAGGAAAGGATCTATTTCTCACTCCCAAGTCAATGAAAGGTAACTCAATAATTATTACTAGAGTGAATCTGCAATATGCAGGAAATGCTGACAAAGTCATGCTCCAGATGTGCATTTTCCTATCTTGGCTACTTTGCAAGTTTGAGTAGTTGGGTTCCTAGAAGGGAGAGACAATTAGTTTCAATTCAAATGTCAACAAGGTTAGATTGTCTCTCCATCTTTGGTATGAGCTTGTATTCATCCTTAAATTTTGACATATTGTAGTCAATTGAGATTGTTTTAAAAGATTTAGTGGTAAATTTTGAATTATTCTTTCTAGTGTTGCAACTGTAAAACACTCGTGTTACGATCTTGCTATATTTTCATTACTTACATTGAGTTACTAGTTAAATACAATACTTTTTTGGTCATAAATCATATTTCAACTTTTCTGAGTCTCCATTTGTCAGAAAGAGTGCCTTCAGAAGCAGTTTCCTATCCCTAAAGATTTCTCTAATTTGAGAATCAAGGACAACTAGGGCCATACACATTTACACGCAACAACAAACACTCACTGAGAAAATAAATAAATATTAGAGGGCTTAGAACAACATGCACAGGAATGAACACTACAAATAAATATTTAAATTACTCAATCAGAAGATAAAAATGTAAAGTGAATCAGAATGAATTATTCAAGTTCACATTCCAAAAATGCCAAGTATCTGCATTTCCACACCAAAAAAAAAACAAAAACAAAAACAAAATAGAAGCCGTAAGACCTAAATTAGATTTGGATAGTAAAAAAAAAAAACTCATTTATAAACTTGGTTTGATAGGAAATCCAAATTGAAAAACTAACATAAACACATGAAATAAGAATAACCGAAGATGAAATGGGAAGAGTGAAATCAAATTTCCAATTAACAAAAGAATTCCTCAAATAAAAACATATTAAGGCAATAGCTTCACATCTAACCAAGTTTGAGTGATCAAGCAATAGACATCAATGGATTTACCAATAGAAATGCAACCAAAAAGATGAAATGTCAAGCACGTTTCCCACTATTGGGATTGGACTTTGTGCAAAGGATCCATCGTCCCTTGGCACGTCTACGCTTCAACACTGCTCTTCCACTGGTGGTGCTCATTCTTTTGCGAAAGCCATGTGTCCGGGCCAGAGACTTTCGAGATCTGTTCCTCTTGGTTTGACAAAGAGTATACTTCCGAGCAGTCACTACTAGGCCACGGCCTTTCTCTCTTCTTACCCCAGTACTAGAATTCAAGTTCAAGCCTAATGACAAACCTGCAATTCATGTGTTCAATTTGAGAACAAGTTTTTCTACCTAATAACACAAGGTATTCTAACAACACCAATACTAGATTTCAACAAAAATATAACCAGTTGAAATACATTATTATTTAAGTATACTTGCTAAGAAGTCATATCAGAAGAGAAACACAAATGTTGCACCTTATAATACTTTGGGGTTGGACCGACAACAGTTGTGTGATTTCTTAACATTTTTCAACAAAACGAATACAAGAAATGCAATCTCATGCTGTTGAATGAGGCAGAAACATTCTCACTGGAATATGATCATCAAGCTAACATCACAGAGGAAATTGTGCAACATAAGATGAATAAAGTTCACAATTTGCAGCCTGATTCCTTGAAAGTACCAACCCACAAAAAGAACCCACATTGCATCACCCTAGAATAATGTCTAATTGTCACAAATTATAAAATTAAAAAAAAAAAAACCCACCTATATGTTGTCCAATTACTCCCACTACAAAGCTAAAAACTTTCCAACCCATTAAAAAAAATTCATAAATAAGACAAACCCATTGCTACAAGAATCAAAGAGCACATAAACTAAACTTAAAATGTTAGAGAAGCAGAAACCCATGAACAAAATCATCAGCTAATAAGAAATTGAAGCTTAATTTGGGGATTTTTCACATTAAACAGTGATGGGGATATGAAAGAGATTGAAAATTGTGGTGTACCTGAAAAAGAAGAACCAGAAGAGAGAGAAAGTGCAGTGGCAGGGACGAAGGAGCAATGAAGGAACCCAGAACGACTAGGTGCATTTGTGGCCCCTTTCAAAGACCCCACAGAGCTCAATCTTTGGCTCGAACCAGTAAGGAGAGTAAGAGAAGCTGTTGGAATTCGAGTTTGTGAGCAAACCCAAGTTCCCATTGATACAAAAGCCATTCTCTCTCTCTCTCTCTCTCTCTCTCTCTCTCTAATGTTAGAGAAACAGAAACCCATGAACAAAATCATCAGCTAATAAGAAGTTGAAGCTTAATTTGGGGATTTTTCACATTAAACAGAGATGGGGATATGAAAGAGATTGAAAATTGTGGTGTACCTGAAAAAGAAGAACCAGAAGAGAGAGAAAGTGCAGTGGCAGGGACGAAGGAGCAATGAAGCAACCCAGAACGACTAGGGGCATTTGTGGCCCCTTTCAAAGACCCCACAGAGCTCAATCTTTGGCTCGAACCAGTAAGAAGAGTAAGAGATGCTGTTGGAATTCGAGTTTGTGAGCAAACCAATACTAGATTTCAACAAAAATATAACCAGTTGAAATACATTATTATTTAAGTATACTTGCTAAGAAGTCATATCAGAAGAGAAACACAAATGTTGCACCTTATAATACTTTGGGGTTGGACCGACAACAGTTGTGTGATTTCTTAACATTTTTCAACAAAACGAATACAAGAAATGCAATCTCATGGTGTTGAATGAGGCAGAAACATTCTCACTGGAATATGATCATCAAGCTAACATCACAGAGGAAATTGTGCAACATAAGATGAATAAAGTTCACAATTTGCAGCCTGATTCCTTGAAAGTACCAACCCACAAAAAGAACCCACATTGCATCACCCTAGAATAATGTCTAATTGTCACAAATTATAAAATTAAAAAAAAAAAAACCCACCTATATGTTGTCCAATTACTCCCACTACAAAGCTAAAAACTTTCCAACCCATTAAAAAAAATTCATAAATAAGACAAACCCATTGCTACAAGAATCAAAGAGCACATAAACTAAACTTAAAATGTTAGAGAAACAGAAACCCATGAACAAAATCATCAGCTAATAAGAAGTTGAAGCTTAATTTGGGGATTTTTCACATTAAACAGAGATGGGGATATGAAAGAGATTGAAAATTGTGGTGTACCTGAAAAAGAAGAACCAGAAGAGAGAGAAAGTGCAGTGGCAGGGACGAAGGAGCAATGAAGCAACCCAGAACGACTAGGGGCATTTGTGGCCCCTTTCAAAGACCCCACAGAGCTCAATCTTTGGCTCGAACCAGTAGGGAGAGTAAGAGAAGCTGTTGGAATTCGAGTTTGTGAGCAAACCCAAGTTCCCATTGATACAAAAGCCATTCTCTCTCTCTCTCTCTCTCTCTCTCTCTCTCTTTGTTATCCTCTTTCACTCTCTCTCTTGATTGCTCTGCCTTAGCGATTCTGTGCGCACAGACCACTGGGGGTAAAATGGATATTTAACTATTTGATGAGTACAGGTGGCTTTATTTTATTCGTTGGGTTTGGCCGGTTGTAACGAGTTTGATCAGTGGTTGCAACAGAGAAGTGTAATTGGTTAGTCGGGCTGCATGGGCAACTGAATGGGTTGTCCGGCCCATTAAAATGCCAAAACTACATGTTTCAAGATGGGCCGTTTCGTAACGATTTACTTTTTGTTTTGTTCTCTCTCAAGTTTTGGGTTGTGGTTTGAAGTATAGATTTGACTAAGAATTTAACAAAAGCGAAGGTATGTGAAATATAATTATATAAAATTCATATTTTACTTTTCTTTTGTTTTTTCAAATCTCACCAAATTCATGTTCTAGACACAGAATATAAAGAAGTGTTTGGTACAATTTATTATAAATTTAAAAATTGATGATTAAAAAGTAAAAATTAAAAGCACTCATTCCTTCCATCTTTCATACAATTAACTTTTTTTTTCCTTTGGAAACTAGTTAAAATAGTTAAAAATTCGCTACAGAAATATCAACTCTACTCTCTATTCTTTTGTATGTCTTTTCATAAATAGTCAAAAAATTAATTAAAATAGCTTATTCCCAAAACAACATATTTATTGGGATTTTTGGCAAATAGTCCTTCCCGTTGAGCCTTTTTTGTATGAAGCCCACAGAATAAAATTATGGTTCCAAAAGTCCCTCAAATTAAAAAATATGATGAAAAGATAGTAATACCCTTATATACATATGAGCAATAGTAAGTAGTTGAGCTATTTGTCTCTATAGTTCTTTTTCTTCGTTTGAAAACTGTCAAAGTTCAAAACCCTTGATTCGAAAATCCTTCTTCAAAAACTGTCATTTGAAGCAAAAATTAAAGCATAATGAGAGACTTTCAAGTGCCATTGTCAAATGTTTCGAAGTTATTGAACGATTTTATCATATTCTACCAGTCGTTACTTCTGAATCAACCATCACAAGTCAGAGAAGCTCTCTTTCTTTTACAACTCTCTCTCTCTCTCTCTCTCTCTCTCTCCACATCAACTCTACCATCGATAGTTGTTCATCGCCTCCACCATCTCCATCATCGATCGGCATCACTCATCCTTACCTTTGGCTCGCGACCACCATTTTTACCGTCAACCATCACCATCTCAGATTTGATGTCTATGAACTCATGTTTGAGATCAATAACTTTAGATCTGAGATAAAATGACCTCATATATGTTAAAAAAATGATAAATAGAGATATTACAATGAACAATTGAGAGTTTTTTTGTTTGTTTGTTCTTGGATCTAAAGTAAAATTCAACTATAATTCTTTTATCTAGTATGTATTCTGTTTTCGTAACAGTAAAATTTTACTCTAGTTAACGAAAATAAAGTTTGATTGCTGATTTGCTTAACGACAGTAAAATTTTATTTTGAATCATAGTAAAATTTACTCTAATTCAGAGTAAAATTTTACTCTGAATGACGCTACGATTTCTCCTTGCTTTGATAATGACAGTAAAATTTTACTGTCTACATCAATTTCAACAGTACTTTGTTTTATTTGTTTTAAGGAATTTCATAGTAACTTGGATTTTGTTTGATAGATCTTTGATGAGAGAACTCTAAAAATATTGATTTTATTAAAAACCGACATCTAGATCAAAAATTATATCATTTTAAAGTTTAAAAATAAAAATGGCACATATGTTTCTACAGGTTGGATATGTTTTATAATAGAACTCATACTAAACCTATATTGTTTTTGACAGTAACATTTTATTGTCTTTCAAAGTAAAATTTTATTCAAAACCTTCACTTCTACTGAACGTGGTCTGTTACAAATTCTTTTACATGAAACTAATCAAGAACATTAAAAAATATATATTAAAGTCTCAAATTGAATTACAAAGCAACTCAGTAAGTTGGATGAACAACCATTCAATAAAAATGGATTGTCGTTGCAAAAATACTACATTATTTTCATACTTTTATTACAAAACAATAATGTCTTTCATGACAATGTCTCCTTACAAGTCTTCTTGTTATGACTGTATTTCTTGCATCTACAATACTGCACTTTTCTTATGTTCTTACCCCTAAATGGAATTCAATTCTTTCTTGGCCTATCGAGTAACTTCTAACAAATTGGATGAAAGACAACAAGATCATCCACAACTATCCGTAATCTTTGCATCGACAATACCAATTGCAAGAGGAAAAAAATCTGAAAGAGAGAACATTTTACAATTAGTAAGTATAATACACAAAAGGCAAAAAAAGTAAAATAGTAAAATGTTACTATAATTAAAAGTAAAAGTTTACTCTGAAAACAAGTAAAATGTTACTCTGAAATTAAGTAAAATTTTACTTTGTAAGACACTGACAGTAGTATCTACCTTGATCCCCATACTTTATTGTAGTTGATAACAATGTGCCCTTATATTTGCCATTCAGGAAAGTACCATCAATAAACAATAGAAATCGGTCAAATTCTTCAATGTGCAGTTTGACACAACCTTCAACACAATGGTATGATCACTATACTTGCATAATAACATAAGAAGTGTAACCATTTTTCAAATCTACAATCAATTGACAGTAAAAATTTACTGTCAATCAAAGTAAAATTTTATTGTCACTATAAGTCCAAAAACAAATAACAGAAGTACAAGGTACTATAGTAAAATTTTACTATCACTACGAGTCCAAAAACAAATAACAAAAGTACACGGTACTAGAGTAAAATTTTATTGTCATTCTATCAAAAAATAAAAAACAGAACACATAACACCAGAGTAAAATTTTACTTTCATTTTTTCAAACAAAACATAGCACATACTAGAGTAAAATTTTACTTTCATTTTTTCAAACAAAAACATAGCACATACTAGAGTAAAATTTTACTCTTATTCTATCAAACAAAAATAGAGCACATACCAGAGTAAAATTTTTCTCTCATTTTATCAGGCAAAAACAGAGCACATATCAGAATAAAATTTTACTTTCATTCTATCAAACAAAAATAGAGCATATAGTACCAGAGTAAAATTTTATTCTTATTCTGTCAAACAAAATCAGATTACACACAATAAAAATAAATCAAAAACAAAAACAAACAAACAAAAAAATGACTAACCAACAAATCAACAAACCTAATTGAACTCGAATAATAATCAAACATGTGATCGAAGCAAAACCTCCAAAACGCAATCAACACTCACAAATCTCAATGAAACTCTCAAAATCTGATACAAATTTGTACAGATTTAAAATGTAATCTCTCGTTTAATTAAGTGTGTTGATTGTCGGCGGCGAGACCTTCTATTGTTGACCAAGGGTGAGATCTTCGGCGCAAGATCTTCAGATTTAGAGATTGTCTTAATTGATTTCATAAATCATGTTCACTGATTTCGCAAATCGTCTTCGCAAATCCGTGTATATATCAGTTGTGATGACTGAGTACGTAAACCACCTTGTTCCTCTTTGTTTTATGTTGGGTTTGCCTTTGTTAAAGTATCGAGTTTAACTTGGAGTCTTGTTAACGGTTTGAGTTAGTTGCATTTGGAAGCTTTTCTCAAAATCCTTGTTTTTATTTATTTTCGTGTTCAGTTTCACATGTTTTGAAAGGTGTGGGGTTGAATCCGGGGTGTCCCGAGTCGAACTGGGATGATTTCTGGCTGGGTGGCTAAACCGCACGTGCGGGGCCTGGCCTGCACTTACGGAGCAGGGGCCGCACATACGGGAGGTGAGGCCGCACGTGCGGTGAAGAAGGGAGTTGCCATGGCACATTCTGCTTTATATGCAAGTACAGAAGGAGGTGCGGAGAGGAAGTACTGCACGTGCAGGAGTGAGAGCCGCACGTGCGGAGGGGGTTACTGCACGTGCGAGAATGGGTGCCGCACGTGCGAGAGTCCGTTGAGTTTGAAAAATCAGTCTTTTCTTTCTTCTTGGGCCGAGTGTATCTCACTTTTTACACATCTCTCTCTCTCTAAAAACACATTTTCCTCTCCCTTCTCTCTAAAAACCTCCACTAAACACCTTAAACTCTTGATCTCTTGTCATCCATTGGAGTTTTGACCGAACATCCTTCATAAATTTTGGATAGCTAAGCGAGAGCTTCGTTGTGTGCAGTGGAGATCGGGTTTCGACACTGTTGATTTTGGAAGTTTCATTTCATTTCTTCTTCAAATTTGAGGTAGGGATTTCTTTGAGTCATATATACATTTTTGGTATGAATATGCTGTTGTTAGAGCTCTTAATTGTTGTGTTGAACTTGTTTTTGACTCATGAGTTATAAATGCTTTTAAATGTGGGCTTTCAAAAAATGTTTTTTTTTACAAAAACCCTTGAGATTTAAGCCACATCGTTATGGAGAAGTATTATCTTGAAATAATGGCTTTTGAAATGAAGAGGAAATCTTATTTATGAAAACCCTAGAAATTTGGAAACTTTCTTTTTGAGGAAATGTGGTGATGTTGTGAAATGGATATTGATCAATATTTTGATGAATGCTGAGATGAGGAAATTTCATCGTGTCAGAGAATTAGTTGATTGGAAGTTTGTTGTTAAAAAATGGGATATAGTCATGAAGTGATTAATTTGTTGTGAATGCTTAAAGTGTGAAAATGTTACTACTTTTGATGGTTTTAAATGAATAATTAGTTATCTTGTGAAATTGCATTGGAAAGAGAAATAGGAATTGTAATCACAATGGAAAAGTGGTAAGAAAGAATTAAAAGAACATTACATTGCATTGATCATTGTTGCATTGACATTTTGATTCATTTGGTTGTTACAAATTTTGAATTGAGATTTGAAACTTTTGCATTGAGAAAAGACTGTTGTGAAATAAGATTTATTGAAATGTTTTGGGATAAATACGTTGGCAAGTCCGGATAGGAGATATAGATGAAATTGATTAAGTTGGCCTGAGTGTCTAGGGTGAAAGACCGAAAACACGCGCGGAGGAGGTATCACGTGCCTTCCGGTTAGCTACCGGTAAAGTGGGG